CCCGGGAAAGCTGACGAAATCCCAGCTCCAGGTGCTCCGGCGGCACGCCAGGAACACGCCTTCTGCCAGCCTGTGCTAGCTCACTGCCGGGGCGCTGGGCTCGAAGCCGGCCAAGGCCCAGCTGCCAGGCCCCGCCGGGGGGTTCCCCTTTGTGTCTCTGGGGTGGGGGGGTGGGGGAAGGTGAACTGCCCCCACAAACTGGTGCTTCCTGTGTCCCTGGTCCTGTTTGTGCTGGGTGGTGACTAGGGCTGGGAACGGCAAACCTGGCCGCGGAGTGGGAGGGGCCCCGGCCCCACGCTGGCCCCGTGCCAGGCTATGAAATGAGACACCTTGCACCACAGCTAGAACTTGCAGGTAACTTGGTGAGGTGTCTCCCACTCACACCTCTCGGCGTATAAAACCCTGGCGGGGGACCAGCCCGCCCCGTCCCAGAAGAGCCTTTGGAGCAGGTAAGTGGCTTCTTCCTTTCCCAGTCCCTTCCCGACTCTGGCTGGGGGATCACACCTGCTGGGTGTCCCCCACCTCCCCCACCCCTGCCCCCCCCATGCTCCCCTCTGGCTTCGCCCCAACCCGTTGCTAGGGGAGAGGCACGGGACATGTTTCAGCAGCTCCCTGCGAGGCCAGAGTGCCGTTCCTTGCTGTGCACTTCCAACCTGCCCTGCAATCGAAAACGCCAGCTTCGGAGGGAAAATCTGGGGGAGCGCCGAACTAACCAGGGCTTTTCCCCCTTCTCTCTCCCCCACCAGCAAAGCCCCAGCACCTGATGTGAAGCCAGCTCCTGGGAGTTCACCCAACGCCTTGACTCAGCTTGGATCATAGGAGGAGCCCGTGTCCCCCCCCCCGCACCGCACCGCTCCCAGCAGCATCCCACGGGAAAGCCAAGCAGGAGAGGGAGCTGAGGAACCGGCGCACCGGAGAGACGCAGCATGGGCCAGTGCCACTGTCACAAGAAGCGCAAGGTCAATGAAAGAGCCATTAGCTCCGTAGCGTGCCCTGTGTCACCCCGCTTCCCACGGGGAGAATTCGTGGGACCCCTCTGGCTGCGCAGGGCGCTTTTCTTGAGGATATATCCGAAGGGACCTGGCACCTCACCTGCACTTGGGACCAGCAGTGCTCTGGGAACAGTCCTGCCCTGGCTCAGGGAGATGGGACGTCTGGGGTCTTTCCCATCCCTAGCTCCTGTGACTTCAGGATGAAAAAAGGAACGCTCCTGATCCAAAGTCCATTGAAACCAATGGAGAGCCCCCACCCCAGACTCCAGTGGGCTTTGGGTCAGCTGTTCTGAGGGTCTGGCCTCAAGTATCTTCAGCATCTAGATCCCTGTTTCAAGCCGAGACGCCGTTTTCTCGCGAGTCCCACGCAGAGCGGGGCTCCAAGGCTGCCCTGGCCAGTTGAAAGCCCGGCAAATCAGGAGGCATTTCCCAGCTAAGGTCACATTGTTCTGGGTTGGTTTAAAAGTTGTTTCAGCAACTGTTAAACTCACCAAAGGAACGAAGGAAACAACCTTGAAAGTCTCCTGCTTTGCTCTGCGTTCCAATGGGAGGGTCATTCCCAGAGTGCTGAGGCCAGGAGTCACGCTGATTTACACCAGCTGAGAATCTGGCCCCTCCCCGGATCTGAGCTCCTGCTAGGAAGGGTCAGGTCCCTGGAGGAGACCCGCTCAAAGCTATTCTGCAGGTCTGTTATTTTGAATAGCTGGTAGTTACTGGCTTAGCGGTGAGTAAAGGGGAGAACCCCTGTGCTGGCGCAAACTGCTGCAGCTCTTCCCTTGACATGCAGCTTTGGGGAATTCATGAAAGCAGCAGAAGAAATTCTGGAGAAACCTCCCGAGGGATGCAAATCTGGTCATCTTTAGCTGCCCCCTCCCCTACCCCAGCCTCCATGGGGGAAGAGAAGCCAGGCATCTACTGTGCCATGCTCTGTCTGGTAGATAGTAGGTGCCCTACTCATGGGTGACGCTAAATCCCATTTCAGATGGGCACCAACATCCCTATGGGACTGACCCATCTGCTACTTGTTCAGCGAGCCAGAAGGCCCCGGTCTCAATTCTGGGTGCAACCCTTGGCAGGAGACCAATGGAACCGCGTCTGCTTAGGCGGGAGCTAGGGTAACGTACCAAGGGCTCTTGAGCGCCAGGCTTCAGGGCAAAGCTGATCAGCAGCTGGTGGGCAGGAGGGAATTTCCCCTCCTGGCAGAGTCCTGAAGCAGCTAGGCGAAGTCTCGAGCACTAGCCACTGCTGGAGACGACAGGCGGGACTGGGTGGACAGTGTCTCTCATTTGGGTCTGGCAGGAGGTAGGACCGTTCTCAGCTGGTGTCAATTAGCTCCACTGACTAGGGGGGCCATGGTTCTGGTGAGACGTGGAGGAGGGGGTGTCAGAGAAGATGGATCATTGGTGTGGCAGGCTGGGGAGATGCCAGTCTAGACGGAGCACGGAGCTGTTCCTCGGCAGCTCCCGGGAAGAGGCCCAGCCAGGCTGATGTGGGATCTGGGCACCCTTTGATCTTCCCTGGGATCTCAGCGAGTGAGGGTGGGACGTTCTCCTCGGTCTCGAGCTGCTCCTTGCGTCACAGCTGGGCCTCCTTGCCCCCACCCCCGCTAAACGTCTCCCTCTCCTGCCCGTGGGCTCTAGGACAGCCAGGAGCTCACCGACGTGGAGAGGGCGATCGAGATCGTGATCAACAACTTCCAGCGCTACGCGGTGAAGGGGCGGAAGGAGTGCCTGACCCCCAACGAGCTCAGGGAGCTGGTGGTGCAGCAGCTGCCTCACCTGTCGCAGGTAAGGGGAGCCCTCGGCACCGCCCCCTGCCCCCCAGCAGGGCTGGGAGATTGTCAGTCCTGAGACAGGGCCATGGTGGAGAACACCAGGGGCGAAATCCCTCAGGGAGGGGGGATCATGCGTGGTGGAGTGGGGGTGATGCAGCAGGGTGGGGGACATGGCCGCCCACTAAACTGACCCTGACCCCACTGCCCCCCAAGATCCCAACGCAACATTCCCTCCCCACTGCACCCCCCAACCTGAGCAACAGCCCCATCCCACTGCGTCCTCAATACCGCCCCAGTTCCACCAACACCCCTACCACACTGCGCCCCCGTTTCTTCCAGCAGACCCACCCCAACAACATCCTCCCTCACTGCACCCCCACTTCCCACCCACCGTCCCATCTGGGTGAGTGGCTCCCTGCTCCCCCCCCTGCCCAGGGTCTCTGCTGGTTTCTGATGGCTCGCCCCACTCTCCTTCCCAGCATGTCTGCTCGCTGGATGAGAAGATCGAGTGCCTTGGGGACCCCGACGAGGCCAAACTGGAGTTCGGCGAGTACTGGGCCATCATCGGGGAGGCAGCCAAAGGCTGCCGAGTGAAGAAGTAACAGGCCTGAGGGGAGACACGGACCGTGAGGCCTCAGACCATCTGCATGGAGAGCGAGCGAGTGAGACTGTCGGCCATGATGTGCTGTGTTGAAAATGCAGTGTTAATTCTTCTGGGGCACGTCTCCTCTCTCCTTCCCCCAGCTCTGGAACCTCTTCATTCTGGGCTCTCTCTCCCTTCCTCCAAGTCTAGAACCTTTTCATTCCTGCTCTAGAAACCTCCCCCTTCTGCTCACCTGCTCTAGAACCTTTTCATTCTCCCTTATTCTGGAACCTATACATGCTGGGGAGGAGGGGGGTGTTGTCCCTCCAGCTCTGGAACCTTAAATTCATGGACATCAGTCCCTTTAGCGTAGAAACTTTAAGCCCTAGATTTGAATCTTGACAGTTTTGGAACCTTAAAATGTGTCATTTTCTAGCTCTCTTGCTCTAGAAACTTTACATTCGGGGGGGGGTTTCCCCCAACTCCGGAACCTTAAAACACAGGGGTTTTAGCTACTTTACTCTGGAAACTTTAGATTCTCTGGTTCCATCTGCCCAGCCCTGGAACCTTCCCCTCCTCCTCTCCCTGGTTCCAGGATCTCTCCTTGGATCACTGCCCCGAGCACTTGCTATCACCAGTTTGGGGTTCAGAGCTGGGCCTCAGACCCTCCAGTCCTCCAGGTCGCTGTCCATCTCCGGGGCGGGGTGTTTGGGAAGCGGCTGACAACCCTGGGGCAGTTCTATGGGGAGAGGGGGCTGGAAAGAGAGGGGAGGGATCCAGGAGCGGGGGCTAGGTGTGGGACCAGGGCTCTAGGTGGGTGGGAGGCAGGGACGGGTGGAGGGCAGCTCAGCGTGAGGCTGTTGTGGGTCTGGGATCTTTGGTTGGTCTATGGAGTGTGGGGCTCGGCTCCATGCGGAGGGGGCTACCCCCGCTCTTTAGATTGACAGTGTGGTCCCAGTGCCACATGCAGGATTGGGGGGTGGGGGCCCCCCAGGATGGGAGCCCCCCCCTGCAGCATGACCCACCGCCCTCTGCAGCGTGACGAGCATGCAACACCCCCAAGCGCCCCCACACCCCGACAGCTGGACACTCAGAATTGTAAGCGCCCCAGCACGTGAAGGCTGCGGGGGGAGGGGGGGCACTGCGCACCCCGACGTCCCTGCTCTCTATGGAGCCCTGACACGCTTGACACCAACTCTGACCCCAGATCCCACCGAGGCGCATCCTGGGGGGGGGGTTGAACTTTCCACTGGACGGAAGCAGAGGCCAGTGGTTATAGCAGGGGGTGGCTGGGAACCAGGACTCCTGGGTTCTAGTCCTGCTCTGGCAGTGCAGGCTAGTGGTTAGAGCAGGGGACCTGCGGTTAGCCAGGACTTCTGGGTGCTCTTCCTGATTCTGCCATTGGCCTTGCCAGTTCCTTCCCTCCTTCGCGCCTCGGTTTATAACCCATCCCTAAAATGGGTCCCTCCCGGGGGAGGCGACTGTCAGGCTCCAGACACGGGGCACAGTATTATTGGTATTAAGAGTTCCACCCTGAGCTGGGACTGGGGAGAAAACACCT